GGCGATGCATCGAGTCCCGGTAAGAGGGTTTCGCTATAAATTAATTATACCCATAGAAAAATTCCCACGTCACCCTTTATTCCAGGTTGCGCATTTCATTCGACCTGCCAATTCGTTTATTTTCCAAAGACGCTCGCGTGTAAATTGGACACCCGGTACGTAAATTGTGTCTTTTGTCGCGCGCCCGAAGGCTCGCGGTCTTCTCCTTCGGCGACGATAAATTCTCAGAGAGCATTCTCGCCCGCGGAGAGTTTAGCTCTCGAAGAAGAGGTAGATAACACAGTGCTCGACTAGAAAAGAATTTACGATACGTTCGTACTTGACGTAACATCGCTGCTTCCAGGCGAATTAATCGCCCCCGTGTAAGCAGCGTAAATCCTCGTGTCTGATCCTTTACCGGCGCGTACCACTTAACCACTGTACGGTTTACGGGAAGAGTCTAAACTTTTAACGGGGTTGCTGCGTTCTTACGGGGCAGAGAGAGAGAGAGAGAGGGAGAGTGAAAAAAAGAGGCATTTCTCGAGAAAACCCAATAGCTAAGAGATAAGGATAGAGAAGTCTTGGGTTGAAAAAAAAAAATAACTATAGAGAGAAAGAGAGAGATCTGGTACCAGAGTGAAAATAGTATAAAGGGTGTCCCATTATTCTGAACTAATTACGAGTTTCATTGCGCAAAAGCGATAAAATGGCGGCGGTACTGAGCTATCTCTTCTAATGAAATACCTCAGCGGATCTATTATGGTTTTCCTCGATTCAGGGCAACAATGGTTAAAGGGATACACGTATACAGATATACCTAGTGAAAAAGTCCATTGGTTTTCATGGCCCAAGATATACCGACTGAGACTCGTTAGGAAACTTAAAACTTTCCAGCCGGATGGCAACTGGATGTGTAATTAAGTGGGAGGCAATAAAGTCGACTTAGCTTCGATTGTGCATAAAACAAAATTCCTCGAGCATTATCTGCCCTCATTTAGAAACCCACCCTAATCTCTGCATATAATACATATAGTCTGTATACCAATATCACACATATTACTTTGAAGATCCGATCGCAGCTAGAAACCCAGCAGCCGTGCAGGGATGGGAATTCGCGAAGAATTGGAAAAGCGGGGAAAGAGAAGAATTGTACGAAAAAAAAAAGGATAAGGGAAAAAGTGAAGAAAAAGAGTTCGTTTTACCTATTTCGTATAAAAATGTACCCTCGAACAGGCGGGAGCGTCGCGAAATATTTTTCTCAGAATCAATCCTGCGGGATGCTGTTGGTCCATGTAATATACACAGGAAAAACCTATTCGGAAATACAACGTGAAACGCCGCCAGCCGACTGACGTTTAATCCCACGGGGACGAGAAATGGATCCGCGAGTGATATTATCTCCTTTTTGTAGTAAAGATATGGACCAAATCCCGCCGGGAGATTAATGCTAAATTATGCGCGAATACCGCTTCTACGTGGAATACGAGTGGCGCTGTGTACCGAGTATCGGCCAGTAGGAGAGACTACTCCGATTTCAGCGTTCGAGAGTCGACAGGAGTATCTGAAGAGGCAAAGAGGGAAAGTAGGGGGAGGGGGGGAGAGAGGGGAAGCGAAGCGGGATCAGAGGGGAGGTACTTTATCGAATACCGTGGATCTTCACGTTTTCACCATTCAAAGTATCCACTTTTCCCTTGCTTTGCGCTTTTATGCCAATTTGCATCGTTCGCGAAAGGATTTCATAAAGTTCGATCCCGTCCATCCCCGGCCCGATACACATCGTCATCTCCCTGTACAAGTTTCGCGATAAAACATACAGCGAATATAAAGCTCAGGAACGCAGAAGCTGCACCCTATTAACGTTTTATACGCGTACTTAAATTTTATTAAAAAGAAAATGCATACAATTCAAATAAAACAAAAAAAAATAAAAAGAATAACAAGCGCAATCAAAGCAAACGTTGCAACGTTGAGAGTTAGCGTATGGCCAAAAGTCTAACCAGACGGTTTCACGATGAAAGCTCGAGTTGTGAAAAAAATAATTTTTTTTTTCTTTTTTTTTTTTTTTCCCCACTCATAAAAGGACTTTACGATCCCAGCGGATCGCGCAGGAAACGCGAAAAAGCAGAAAAGCTTCGGGTCACACCCGACAACCCGTTGGTCGACGGTCTAAAAGTTTCCCATAAACCTGCCCCGCGCGCCATCGATTGTTAAATCCTTGGCGCTACGACTGTTTTACAGCGAGCGACGGAGGGCGTCGCGACGCCTCGACGTAAGGTACCGAGAAATCGCGCGTCTCCTCGAGTGACGATTCTTCTAAAATCGCGAAAACCTACTGCAGCGCGAAACGATTCGTCCGTGACGCGTCTTCGCGCGGTTCCGTTCGCGGAAAAGCGTCGCGACGACGGTTCTCGAATATATTAACATGAAAACACGATAAGACGCAGCCGTTGTCGCCGCGATTTCCCGCTGGGATTCGCAGCAGCCGCGTAATCGGTCCATACACCCCCCCTGGCTCATATATATATATATATATACCGCGAAAGCGTCAGAACACGTACCTAATACCGTCAGTTTCCATAAAGCGACTCAAATCGAACCTGGAAACGCTCCTTAAGAAAATCAGCCGTATAATCAGCGTCGCGACGCTGCGTCATACGGTTCGTTTACAAGTGCCGATAAGCCGAACCGATAGCGATTCGATTAACGCGTTAACGCGTACGACCCTGTATATATATATTTTTTTTTTAACGAGCCACCATGTATATACGCCTTTATACCAAGGTCGCGAAGCCTGTTACAAAGGAAATCAGACTAAAGCCTCGTTCACAGGCAACAACAATCTTATTTGGGAAACCATTTTTTAAAACCATTTTTACGTGAGGCTCGATAAGATATTTACTCCCATCGAGTGATTTTCCTTTTTCAATCTTCTTATCATTCTTTCCCCCCCCCCCCCC